CTTCCTTCCTTCCTTCCTCCCTCCCTCCTTTCTTTCAGTACTTGGAGAAAGTACTGATGTTCAATGTTCAAACCTGAGCTTCTGCTCAACTATTTCTTTTTGTTTGGAGACAAGGTCTTGTTTATGCCTGAATGTGCTCAAACTGACCGTCCTGCCTCAGCCTACAGGGGGCTGAGATTACAAGAGTGAGCCACCACATGCAGCTACATCTTTATTTGGAGACAGGAACTGGTGGAGTTCTTCCGGTTGAAAGGGATATTGCCACTGTCCTCCCTTAGCCTACCACAGTGCTGGGATTGGAGGGAAGTGCCACCAAGCTCTTTTTCTACTGTAATTTTAAAAAGCAGTTTTATATCATTGGTACTTGTGTAAGTGACAACACTATTAGTCATCCTGAAATATCATTTCTCTCTCTCTCTCTCTCACTCTTTCTTTTTGAGACAGTGTCTTGCTATATAGTTCAGCCTGGCCTTGAACTCACTGCAATCCTCCTGCCTCTGCCTCCTGAGTGTTGGGACAACAGGCATCATTACCACTCCCAGTTAAAAAGCATTTCATAATAGCAATTTTGAAAACTAAGACACAAAATACCTTACCTTGCCTAACTCACCAGCAGGGGGCAGGCTTGTCCCAAAGCTTGGACTCTTCACTGCACTAGGGATGGAGCCAGCCTTGTGCTCCCATCAGCAGCCCTGCTGGCTTCCACAGCTCTGCTCCTCTGGAGAATCCTGCTGAGATGGCGGCTACATGGAAAACTGTGTCACATTTGTGCACCGTGTCGCTGCCCTCCCCTCTTCTCAGGAGCAGAGGAAGTGTGTTGGTAATGAGGGATGTGGACCACTGGCCCGAGGTTTCTGCAGTGTGTTATGTATATGATGAACATATGCACATAAAACACAACTTGTCCTAAATCATAATATTTGTCTTCAAGATATTAAGGAAACTGCCAATATGTGACCAAAGCAGACTTAGGAAACTGATACTTTCAATGCACTATTCATTAAAATTTATTTCAGAGGAGCTGAAGTTACTGCCACATAAATATTGTCCTTCATGACATGGAGGAGAATGTATGAAACCCAAATGGAGATTGTACACCCTTTTGATTTGTGGATTTCATGACATCCGTGCATTATCCACAGCATCACAAGCTGCATTTTCTACAACCATTTCATTTGCATCAGTTTTTGCCTGCTGATGTTCACTTACCCAAATTTTCCTCTTAGAAGTAGTGATTCAATGCTGGAGAGTCTCCAGCCATCTTGGGCAGCCAGCAATTACTGCCACTTGCCAGGCTTCATGTTCAGCTGTGCAGCACATAGCTGTGGAGAGTGTCCCTGTCTTTTTATGAGACATTTCTAGCAAGTGAGATTTCATGGAAAAAATCATGTCATATATCCCTAGCACATGCCCAGCAAGGGAGCTCTAAGGCATTCATCCAAGAGAGCATACCTTCACCCAGATGTTCCCAGTTGCTCTCTTCATAACTTCTGGTGTTTGATATTGTCCAGCTACTGTTCAACAGATAGATGACTAACTCAACTTTGCTCATCCAAAGAGTGCAATACCCTCATGCCAGGAGAGCCAGTAGGCATGCAGATGTAGCCTCAAGTGAATGAGGCCAACATGAAGGCTGTGGACTCCACCACTCTGGAAATACCCACAGAAATAAACAGGGAGGTTGCAGATGCCCCCAAGGAAGGAGACAAGAGAGGTGGTGGTTGGAAGTGCAAGTCAGTGGTAAACCACTGGCCTAGCATGGTTGAGGCCCCAGTATCCATCCAAGCACTCACAAGCAAAGGAAGTATCAGAAGGGCAGTACGTTATTTTGGTGTTTGGAGATCCCACAGCATGTGCCCATTCACACCAGACAATTCAATGCTTTTTTTTTTTCACTGACCATTGGAAATTGCTGAGGGCAAAGAGGAAAGCTTCCCTGTGTGTGGTGGTGCATGCCTGAAACCCCAGAACTCTAGAAAGCTGAGATGGGATATGTGCAGGTTAGAGCCTATGCTGGACAACTTAGCTATTCAGTGAGACATTGCCTCAAAAA